TTGTGAGGGCAGCACAGCCTCAGGCTTTGACTTCACTGGGCGGGGGGGGGTAATCTTTGCCCAAGTGGGCAGCCACTCCTTCCTTTAATGGAGGGATCGATGCTGGCCTTCCCTGTGCATTTGCCCCTCCCCAGTCTAATCCCGGGAGAAGAGCAGGGCAGAATCATTAAACCGTTTTCATAGGTTTGGCTTGGAAAGGCTCTATCCTGCAACTTAAGAACATAAGAGATGCCAATGTTGGATCAGGCCAATGGCCCATCCAGTCCAACACTCCATGTCACACAGTGGACCTCCATATGCTTATCTAATTCCCTCTTATAAGAACATAAGAGAAGCCAATGTTGGATCAGGCCAGTGGCCCATCCAGTCCAACACTCTGTGTCACACAGTGGCTAAAAGTACCAGGGGCCATCAGGAGGTCCAGCAGTAGGGCCAGGAGACCAGAAGCCCTCCCACTGTTGGCCCCCCCAAGCACCAAGGATACAGAGCATCCCTTGCCTCAGCCTGAGGGTTCCTAATCTATACCTTGTGGCTAATAGCCACGGATGGACCTCTGCTCCATATCCTTATCCAATTCCCTCTCATAAGAACATAAGAGAAGCCAGTATTGGTTCAGGCCAATGGCCCATCCCGTTCTACACTCTGTGTCACGCAGTGGCCAAAAATACCAGGTGTCATCAGGAGGTCCAGCAGTGGAGCCAGGACACTAGGAGCCCTCCCACTGTTGTCCCCCCCCAAGCACCAAGAATACAGTGCATCACTGCCCCAGACATAAGAACATAAGAGAAGCCAATGCTGGATCAGGCCAAAGGCCCATCCAGTCCAACATTCTGTCACACAGTGGCCAACAATACCAGGTGCCCTCAGGAGGTCCAGCAGTGGGGCCAGGACACTAGAAGCCCTCCCACTGTTGCCCCCCCCCCCCGAGCACCAAGGATACAGAGCATCACCCGCCCCAGCCTGAGAGTTCCTAATGTGGCCACTGAAGGGCCTCTGCTCCATTTGTTTATCGAATTCCCTCTTGAAGTCCTCCATGCTTGTAGCCGCCACCACCTCCCGTGGCAGTGAGTTGTCTCTACCACATGATGCTGCTTAATATGGAAAGGAACGAGGGAGAGGTGTACGTTCTGGCTTTACACTCTGGCTTTACACTCTGGCTTTACAAACCAGTTCAGGCCTTAACCCAGTGAAGGCTTGTGTGTTTAAATCATCATAGCTTTGGGAAGGAATGTTGACGGGGCCTCAGCACACCACTTTGAGAGGTGCCCGTTTGGTTTTTGGAAGGGTTCAGATCGGTGCCCCTGAGAGAGGACTGATTCACTCATGGGGATCATGGGGGGAGGGGCCCTCTCCTCCTCACGTTTTTCTGCCTGATTTTTTTTGCTGACTTCATGGCTTCGTGGAATTTTGCTGCTGTTTTATTCACTGCTTTCCCACTGCAGTTTTAGGTCTTCTTATTTAGCATTTGGATTGTACTCATCGAGCCATTCCATTCCATTTATTTATTTTGCAATCTGTATTTTAAAACGTTTCAAATAAATAGCATCTCACTTGACAGTTTTCCAGCCACCTCTGAAATCCTCCCCGCGGAGGAGGGTGCTGGGAGGAGCTGCCCCGGCTATTCCACCTGTGGTCTTCCGCCCTTGCCTGCGGTGGCCCATCTGCACCCGTAGGTCGAATGCGTATTTGAGTGAGGAATGTGTCTGTGTGAATGGTGCCTCCAGAAGGAACGAGCCCAGAACCGAGACACCTAGCGATCCGTCTGTAGCCTAGAGTTCGATAAGGCCAAGTGTTGGATGGGAGGCATGGTTGTTAAGTGAGGTGTGATTCCGGCTCAGTCGTTTGCTGCTTCTGGTGTTTTCTCCTAATTGGAATCTTGAACAAATGGACTTCCCCAAACGCTCCCATTGCTCAGAGGGCTGGAAGTTCTTTGGACTGGGAGGATGTCTTGTCTTAGCAGTAGCTGAGACTATTACAGGAAACGGACAGCCTCTAAGGCACCATTAAAAACAAAAATGTACCAATTAATTCAGTGTCGTCTTGGCTCCTGGGATGAGCCAGGTTCTATTCCGCAGTGCTTTATACAGCATACCCTTCGCTAAATGAAGAAGACAGGCTTTTAAAATGAATTATTGCCAAATGACTGACTGCACATTTCTGTATATTTTGCTGGCATAAAGTTATCTGGAAGGCACTTTCTTTTTTATGCAAATGCTGTAAATTTCAATGCTTTTATCAAAAAGAGCACACATCGCAGTAAAAAAAATGCTTACGAACTAATTACATTACAATAAAGTTAAAATAGGCCAATAAATGGGCTCATAGTACAATCAAAACAAAGCGACAGGCTTCTAGGCGCAGTGACTTCAGTAGGTATTGAAAGGCATGCACTGCAAATCCTTGCAACAGATCTCCTCAAGTCATTGGCTGATCCACTGTGATGTCATGGAATGCTGACGGCAGTAGAGCTATCAGCAGCAGAATGTGGACAATGGCTTAAACTTCTGGATAGAAAGTGAAAAGTCAGTTGGGCTCGGAGGGGAACTGCAAGCAGGGCCTAGAGCAGGGCTGTCGAACTCATTTGTTACGAGGGCCGGATGTGACATAAATGAGACCTTGTTGGGCCGGGCCATGTGTGTCATAAAATGTAATGCCAGGTAGCGGAGAGATAAACTTTATAAAGGACACAAACACAAAGATTTTTTTTACTTAAAATAAAAAACATGCTTAAAACATTAGCTCTGTAAGCTGCAAACCTGCTTTTGATTTATTGACATTCACTACAGAAATCTCATGCTCTGAGTTCTGAGTCTAGGACCCAGGTTAAAATATGAAGTGGCTGAGAGATTAAGAGAGTCTGGCGAAGCAAGCGATGATGCAGCAGCAGAAGAACTGGAAGCAGGAGATGGCCAGTTCCACTGTGGGCCTGAGGGAAGCCCTCCGGGGCCTGATGTGGCCCTTGGTCCGCGTGTTTGACACCCGTGGCCTAGAGGACACAGAAGAGGCAGTGCTCTTTGCAGCGGAAAGCAGTCTTAAAGTTAACAGAGACCGCGCGTTGGCAGCCCTTGCTGAATCTTCTTTTGGATGTCTCGCGGCTACAAAGAGTTCAGAAACCTCTTTGCTCCTCGACAGCCGCCATACGGTCGCCACCTGACTGGTTTTCTCTCAAGCTATTTAGCCTTAAAAAAAAAAATCCCAAAAGCCATCTGGCTCCTGCAAGCGAGCCAGGGATGGGAAAGAATTATCAGACTAATTTCCTCTCCAAACTCGTAGAAAATAACTGGTGGAAATTGCTAATTGCTCTGGGATTTTTTTTAAAAAAAAGAGGGAGAGAGACAGAGACAGCAAGAAACGGTGGCTGCAGGACAAATAAGTTGCTGCCGTTGCAAAGCCTGGTGGAGGAGAGCAGCAGCAGCTGTGAGAAAATGCCTGCAGTATCTGTGCTTGCTGGATGCCGCCATATGCCCCCCCCCCCCGGA